TTTCTAGGCTTTGTTGTAAGGTCCAAAGGAATCCATGTGGATGAAGAAAATGTGAGAGCGGTCAAGGATTGACCGTCACCTAAAAATGTAAGTGAAGTAAGAAATTTTCATAGTTTAGCAAGTTTTTATAGGAGGTTTGTGAAATATTTTAGCACCATTGTTGCACCTCTTAATGAAATTGTTAAAAATAATGTTATTTTTAAATGGGGCCGAGAAACAAGAGCAAGCACTTTGTTATACCCCAATTTTTCCCCCTAAGATCTCTCATTATCTCATATTATCAATAGATCAAGATCACACATTAGGGTTGGTTCTCCCTTTCTACTTCATCCTATCTTTAAGTTTGCTCTTAAAGGATCACCAAGCACCTTGAGTTATGTATCTTGAACACGTGTTATTTTAACTAATATTAATATATGTATATATGTTTCTTTGAATATTCATATTGTAGGTGATGACACAACTCCATCCATCTCACTATCTAACCTAGGGTTTTGAGGGATGATCCTCAGTCAAATAGTTCTTCAATGGATTGCAGGAGCTTAAGCTTCAAGACTATGTCTATGATATCAAAGTTTTTAGTTAAAAGAGCTCTCTCATCTTATTTAGGACAAGTTTTTTAAAGTTGGTGGTGGTATTTATCAAGAAGATTCATAGGTTCATGTGTTTATTTCCATGTCTTCTTCAACAAGTTTTATTGAGACTTAAGCTCCACCTTTGAGTGTGCTTCAAGACAACATCATTTTAAAGCCTAATGTGATCCATCGTGTTTTATTTTGCCAAGAAAGTTAAAAAGATTCAAGGTTGATTCAACAAGTTTGACCTAATTGAGCAAGTGCTTGATTCAGTGATCACAAGTGCATAACTTTCTCAATTTTCAATATTTTGATTGAGAGATTTATAAATCACTTAATTATATTGTTAATAAGAGTTTTTCAATTTTTTAAACTCTAAAAAGTCTATCACCTTAAATCCCAAGTAGACTTGAGCAAACTCCCCCTTTCGAGGGAGCGGAAAAACAATATCGTCAATCCTTCTCTTCGAATCATATGATCAAGGAGTTGGTTTAAACAATGAGACTGATAAATCCATCATAGACTTATCATCTCAACCTACTAAGAGGTTAAATGGTCATCATAAATTTATGGAAGCATCCTCTACACGAAGGATTTGATCATGTATGTTAAAACACACTATCAACGAGAACAACTTGATCACGTCCATTGAATTACACCATCAACGAGCATACTTGAATCATAGGCACCAGGTCATCAACCTCCATCAGGTATGACCTTTACTTGTATACTCAAAGCATACTTCTTTCTTTGCATAAATTATTTTAATATACAATAAGGTTCCATTAAAGTTGTAAATTATCTCTACAAAACGAATCAGGTTTTCACCTTTGGTACTCAAATCATTTTGGGTTCAGGTGCGTTAGGGGCTTTAAGAGGTCTAGGGTTTTTCCTTTAGGATTTCTTAGTTTATAATAACAAAAAGGCTCTATATGGTCAAGCTTATCACAAAAATAGAATTTATAAATAGTACAACTCAATTTCTTCCTATTTAAGTGTTTAGTATGTGATCTACTTAATTTAAAACTTCGTCTAGTTTTATTCAAAGAATGTATTTGATTTGATAAAATCAAATCTAGGTTTTCTTTTCTCTTTGTAAATTTGGTTAGGGTTTTATGCATATCTTTCATTGCATTTTCCATTGAGACAAAAGTATCATATTCATTAGCAGAGTTTCTACGATTAATCAATAATATATTAATGTTTCATTGCTATAATCTAGAAACTCAATATAGTCTTTAAGATATAACTTACTCTTTTATACCTTATCATGTTCCTCTATTAAATTAGAATTTAATTTAAATACTTGATTGTATGATAAATGTGTTACCTCACAGCTATCTAAGACCTTCAAGCAAACATGTTCATTCGATGAAGGATATTTGAAGATTCTACCAGAGGTTGATTCTTCAAGGTTTCTCCTTGATACTAATTCTCTCAAGAAATTATTCGTCAAGACTTCTTCCTTTTTCTTCTTCCAAAAATTCCACTAGTTGATACTTCTTCATCTTCTTCATATATTTTTTTGATGAAGTTTCTCCATTATCGAACGACGAATTCTTTGAGGATTGTTGGTCAATCGAAATTGTTCTTTCAAATAAAACTGTTGAAGTTGGATTTTGTTCTTATTTTTCAACAGAGTTATTTGTTAAAGTTTCCAATGATCCTTCAAGGTTTTTTGAGTTCATTCCTTCATATTTAAATAGTTGAACCAACCCGTTGAGTTTCTCGATGATTTCCTCCTTCTTAGATTTTTCCTAAAAATTGCAAACATTTTCATCTAGCGATTTAAGGATTGGATCAAATTTCTTATTCCAATTCCTAACTCTTAGATATTTGTTATCTAAGAAGGTTATAACACGACTTCTAAGATTTAAAATGGTTGAGCATCATCCGTGAAGATAATATTAATATTTATATGGTGTTTCAACTTCTTTTCCTAAAATGCTCTCTCTCTCAGATGAAAGAAATGTGAGGATTAGATATCAACATACATATAAAATACTAATAAAACAATATAAACATTATAAATAGAAAAAGAATAGAAATTCTTTATTTGTATAAAATATTTAAGAGGATTGGATTTGTCATTAAAAAAAAGTAGGAGGGAACTTGTTGTCAGTTTTCTTGCTATTTTTGTATAATTTTGGTTATATGGTATAAATTTAAATTGAAAAAATATATATTTGAATCATAAAGTTGTAATCTGAATCATAATAGGTTCCTTAAAAAGAGGAGCAAAGACCAATTTATTCTGGCCACTGCAAGTTGTTATCAATTACATATGTGTGCATGTGCATGTCTATGTAATTTCCACCTAAAATGCCCATGCATATAGGTTATAGTGTGCTTTGAATGGAGTTGTTTTGGAAAAATCACCTTTAGAAAAATACAAAAATACAAAAGTACTTTTAGGATTTATTTTGAAAGTATATTTCTAGATTGTTTTTTTAGACTATTTTTTTACAAAATAAGGATAGAGTGCATTTGAAAGTATATTTCTAGATTGTTTTTTTTGGATTATTTTTTTACAAAAAAAATAAGGAAGAGTGCATTTGAAAGTATATTTCTAGATTGTTTTTTTTGGACTATTTTTTTACAAAAAAAAATAAGGATAGAGTGCATTTGAAAGTATATTTTTAAATTTCAAAAGCAGTTTTTGATCTTTTACTAGAGCGTGGCAGGAAGCCTTAGATTAAGAGGAGCGATTCCCAAAAATATTATTAGAATATAAAATGGAAAGACTATAGAATTCATTGTCGAATAGTATTAACTTTAAACCGAAAGGCACCATAGAATTGGTTGGATATTTAATTACATTTTTTGAATTTTTCAAATATTTTTTCCAAATAACAGTTTTCCCATTATTTCTCATAATAATTATGTTTTAAACACAAAAAATTGGCAACGCGGAAGAGACGTTAATTTAATTGATGAATAGAAGAGACCTAATTGAATTGGTGATTGTATAATGGACAAAGGAGGATGCGCTAATTGAATTAGCGTCTCAATGTAATACTTTTAAAACAAAAAAATTAAAACAATAAATCACATAAAAAATGAATAAAAATGAATATTTAATTTAAATATTTACATACATAATATGATTTATCTTGGGTGTTTGATGTGAGGTCTCTGAAATATCATCACTAAATTCTCTAATAAGTTGTTGTAATTCAAAATAGTCTTGAGTCTGTATCGACACACTGCCGTAATTGAGTTTGTGGTCCATATCAATATAGTTGGATTGTGTTAAAAAGAATTATTGATAGAATCACATATTATATTTGCAAATTGGTTTTTCCATTGACCACCTTGCATGTTACTGAGTCTACCTATTGTGGATAAGACAGTCAATGAAAAATCCAACTTTGCAAAATCAATATGCATGAAATTTTTAGATCTGTTAGATAATAACTCTAGGAGCCAACAACCCCATCAACACAGCCCAATTACACTGACATAGGCCACAAACTCAATTACACCAACACCTCAATACAAACTCAAGACTATTTTACACTGACATAGGCCACAAACTCAATTACACCAACACCTCAATACAAACTCAAGACTATTTTCAATTACAAGAACTTCCTAAAAAATTTGATGATAATGATGTTCCTAAAAGACTTGGTGATAATGATGTTCTAGGATCCTCACATCAAACACTTGGGATGAATCAAGTTGGTCATGGTCTTTAGTGTAAAAAATATTGTTGTATGTAATCATATTAAAATTAAATATTCATTTTTTTCTATAATTTATTGTTTTAATTTTTTTTTTTAAAGTATTGCACTAATGGCGCCACCTCCTCCATTTGGCTACTTGTATATGCAATCCATCAATTTAATTGACACCTCTATCTTTTTAAATACAAACACTAATTAGATTGGCGCCTCATCTACGTGGCCAATGTAAAAAAAATTACTTTGCCGAATGTACAAATTATATATATATATATATATATATATATATATATATATATATATATATATATAGGTTTGGAAAATAACATCTTTCAAGAAACTGATTTAATCAAATTTTAAAAAAACATTTAATTTCGTTTTAAAAACTCCGGAGGAATACACCACACCTACCTTTCATCCCAGTCAAGATCTCCCATGTAACTGAAAGAAAAAGAAGAAAAAAAACAGAAAATACACAAAATCAAGAATTATTGCTTGATTATATGGAGCCATTAATATGTAACTGACAGCTCCAAGATGCATCCAAAAGCCTTGTTCAAGAGCTTACTAAGATTCTCGTGCTAAAAAAGAGAATATAAAATCTGAATGTTTAGCAGAAAACACTGGCAAACATGCCAATTGAAGATAGTCTAATCATAAGCAATAAGGTCACTTGTTAAATTATACAATGTCTGCAATAGTTGACATTAAAATGATTCTAGTCCATCATCTGTAAATGTTATGCAGTCCTCAATGGTGGGGAAACCAATATCACCCCATCTCCCCTAACAAACAGAAAAGGGACTATCCTCTTTGTAGTCTGCAATCAGAAGAAAAACAAAATCATCCAAGGAAAAGCATCTTCAAAACAAATTAAGTATGGCCTTCTTCTAAGAAGACGATTTTGATGGTTGGTGCAAATTGGAGATCATTACTATGCATGTAGTGTTTCCTAGACATAAACAAAATTCAATGGCATCCTTTTATTATCTGGGGTGTCGTACTACTTAGGTTAGGCTATGTTGTTAATCTCAAATAGCATTGCATAGCACCACTCCCTAAAATGTGATAGTGGTATAGCGGATATACACGACCACTCCCTAAAATGTGATAGTGGTATAGCAGATACACACAACCACTCCTAAAATGTGATAGTGGTATAGCGGATATACACGACCACTCCCTAAAATGTGATAGTGGTATAGCAGATACACACAACCACTCCCTAAAATGTGATAGTGGTATATCAGATATACACAATCACTCCCTAAAATGTGATAGTGGTATAGCGGATAGCGGAATAGCCACTATTGCAAAGACTAAAAACCATGGTATCATACTTCATAGTTAAATAACCTAAAGTATAGAGTAATAAACTTAAGCAAAGAAGAAGAATACAATAGTACAAAATGTAGGAAGAAGGGCAGCAGGACAATTATTTGAGAGCAAGAACAAACCATTACTCTTCAAAGGGTTCAGACTGAAATTTAAACCCTTAAAAAAGAAAGCAGTTTTGGAAAAAAAATTGACAAAATTATCCCCAAAATTCTAATAGCAGACGCAATAGCGGTTTTGGGCCGCAATTAGCAGCCGCTACAACCACTATTGTAGACAGCAGCTCGCAGATATTGAACCCTACCACTGCTACGCTATTCCTCTACAGCAGTGCTATAACATAACATAGTGCTTAGGGAAAGGCAATTTTCTTTTCACCAATAGCAACTTGGTCAAGCAAATAGTTAGGTCACAACCAGAGTTGTTAATAGCGCCCGTAGCGGCCGCTATAGCGGCGCTCCAGAGCGGAGCGGAGGCCTGCCGCGCGCGCACAAGGGTGCGGTGGCGGAGAGAAGATAGCGGGCGCTATCGCCGCTATCCCGGGTCGCGGATAGCGGGCGCCTCCCGGGCGGAGCGGTTTGGGTCTGGTTTTTTTTTTTTAAAAAATTTTTTGACAAAATTGGTGTTTTACCCCTCTTTTAAAATACTTTTTAAAACAGATTTGCATTATATTTTCTTTCCTTCGTTTCACTTTCTCACTTTCTTCTTCTGCCCTAATTTTTGTGCCCTTCTTCCACCGTTCTAGTTCCAGCAAGGCAGCAACATACAACTGCAGTCCGCATCTTCTCTACCGTTCCAGGCTTCCAGCAAGGCAGCAACAGCACCATACACCGTTCCAGCAAGTACATCTTCTCCAATCTCCACCGTTCCATCTTATTCTACTTTTGTCTCACATCTCCGTCGTTCGCAAGCCCTCTTTTATAGATTATTATAATATAATTATTAGTATATAAAAGGTTATCCCGCTATCCGGGATCCCGCTATTCCCACTTTTCCCATTCCCGGGGGTCGGCCGCTCCGCTCCGCTATCCGGGATTAATAACTCTGGTCACAACTTAGTTGATATCAAAGTCCTGAAATCACAAGGCCAATAGTGGAAAGAAAAAGCCAATAGCATACTTTTAAAAATAGCTAGAAGTGACTAGCTTTTACTATTATGCTCATTAATATGCACAACATTCAGGTGCAGCTGTTTTCAAAAGATGTTTCCACAACCAAATTTTATTCAAAGTTTCTCCTTATACATTGTTTGGGGACCAAGAGGTAAAGGGAATGAGAATTCTTCACGGTATTAGGAAGAGTGTTTTTAGAGGAGAGGTGAAGGCTTATAACTAATATTTGCTTTATTTTGAGAGGATTATAAAACGAGGAGGATGATTTGCAAAATTTCCAAAGTTCTCTAAAACACTCCACTAATTCGTGTAACTTGAATTGGAGGGTTTAAGCTCTATTAAGAAAAATAAACCTCCATGCAAGATGGAAGACAATCCTCCTTCCCCCTTCCTCCTCTCTTCCCTTAATCTTTCCTTCCTGCTTCCTACCTCTCCTAACCTATGCAGCGCAAGCACTTGATTGAAGGCGCGGTACGAACAAAACACCCACACGCGTGGTTACGTTCAATAATATTGTCCTCTCAAATAATTACCCGTGTCGTACCAGTGTCATGTCGTGTGATTCATAGCTCCTAACTCCCAGTAAATCCTTAAAATATCTATAAACTAGTATAACCATCTTTAACCAAACCGGAGAATGTAATCACAGATAACAATAAAGTGATACAATTTTCAATATTTGCAGCAATTACTGACAGTTATACCAATTACCTTTGCAGAACATGAGTAAATAAAAAGTACTTACCCTAACAATTTCTTCATATGTCTCATCATCAATTTCAACAGTGGTAACAATTTCTTCAACATCACCAAGAATCATATTAAGATGCTGATCATAAGCCTGCAAATCGAAGATGAAATTGAAAAACAGGTAGCAAAAAATTTGTAATAAGAACAAGAGAGATAAAAAGAAAAGAAGAAGAAATTACGTGAAGCTTGCCACGAAGCTCTCTATCGGAACGGAGTTTGACGTAGATACGTTCGTCGAGACTGAGCCTTATGAGATCCAAAGGCTCCTTCACTGCGCTTTCTTCCTCTGTGCCCGCCATTCTCTCTCTCTCTCTCTGTGAGTGGTTCTGTTCTAGAACACACTTCAATTTATCGTTGTTTTGTTAAACTAGAAGAGGAAAAAAATCAGTAGAAATTGAAATTAGGGTTTTCTTAACCCATATATATTAGGGTTTTCTTATGAGAAGTACACACTAAAGATGAAATTGAGTATTTTATTTATTTTTTAATGATAAATTATGGATTTTTTTTTAAATAATTACTTTTTTCAAAAAAAAAATTTAAATAACTACATTTTCAAAAATTTTACCAAAATGACCACTTTTCAAACAAAAAAAATTTGCCACGCAGAGGAGGCGCCACTCTGTGTGGCGCATGCACTCAAATTAAAGAGGAGGCGCCGCACTGCATGCCTTGAGTGTGGCGCATGCATGTGTTTTTGAGAGGAGGCGCCACCCTCCTTGGCTTGACAGTGTAATTGCAATTTTCTATAAATACAACCACCCATCCTCTTCATTTTTCTACACCACTTGTTACATAACTCTTAAAAAATGTCTTCAACTCTTTGCATGTATTTATAGGATGAATGTTACATGTATTTATAAGAAAATCTTGAAGAACATTTTGCATGCAACTTATACACATAGCCGCCACACTAGGTGGCGCATGCTCTTCTTTCTTGCACATAGGCGCCACACTAGGCGGCGCATGCTCTCTTTATTGTACATAGGCGCCATTCAACATGGCTTATTACTTTTTGCATGCATGCTGTGATACGGTGGGAGAATTGACTTGAGGTTTTGCGTTCGTATTCGCACTTGTGCGGTTGAGCAAGAGTCGCCACCGACTTTTTATTTTATCCTAAAGGAAAGGTTAAAAAAGCACAGCAAAAACCTTTTGAGATATTTCGTGGGTTCGGGGGGTAGATTATGAAAAGGGAAGGTGTTAGCACCCTTTTCATCCATGGTTATCCATGGGCTCTTAGTTACTTGGTTTTTTAGATCACTTGCCTTGTTTTTTGATTGCTTTGAAAATGGTGTGTGTGTGGGTGCTTTTTGAAAATGTTTTGGAAAAAGATGCCTTGTCTTAGGCAACTAATGTATTTGACTCGTGTTTGAGTGTTTTACAAAAGTGTGAATCTTTTCGAAAAGATGTTTTCAAATGTTTTTTTGAGAGTTTGTTTGAAAGTGTTGTGGATTGTGGTTTTTTTGAAAAGAAGGCAAGTGTTTTTGCAAGTTTCATCTCAAGTAACTAAGAGTTTTGTCTACCCTATTGTACTCAAAGGTTTTTGTCATGTTTTAACCCCTTTTAACAATTTTGTTCCACCATTGAAATTGGTAGACAATCTTGCGTTTAGGAAGTTTATTCGGGACGGGCGTGGGTCATCGTATGGACCATGAATGCAATGATGCCAAGTGTCTTTGGCAATTTGTTTTGAAGGGACTATGATCATTCCGTTTAGGCAATACTTTGAGACTTATGATCATTTGATTTTGTTTTGCCAAAGATACTCGACGTGCAAGCATGGCCCATTTTGGAAGGCAACATGTGGGATTACCCTAGGGGGTGCAAGTGTGATTGTGTATTGATTACATGTATTTGTCTTTGTATTAGGTTATCTAGCGTTTGATTTTATGTACATACAAACCCTAGGTCTAACCATGGTATAATTGGAAAACTGTAAATTGCGGAATGTAAATCTACGCTATTACAAAATAGTGTCCGGGAGTGGGGGTATAAATGTACAAGGGGATGAGACTTATAGTATCCAATAAGTTACAACCAAATCGAATGTGCGATCAATATGTAAATATCGAATGTACAAATATAAGATAAAATGTGTATAAGGCAATGTGAATGTATTTGTGTAGGTGTACAAGTGTATATGTATATGAATTGTGTAATTATGTACAGGTGCGAATTGTGAAGTTGAATCGTATTAGGGTTTGACCTAGAGAAATGTTTTTTAAATGAATCTTTGATTTTTGTATGTAGATTTATGTACAAAAAGAGTTCAAGTTTTAAATTAAGAATGTTTCTTTATTTGCAAAAAGTATTTGATTAAACGTATCTTTATTTGTTTATATACAAAAAAAGTATTTAAATGTCGAGAATTGAGTTTTGTATAAAAGAATGTATTTTTTATATTGTTATGCAAATATATATTTAAAAAGATATTTTAACTATATGATAAAAATGTATAATATTATAAAATTAAATGTTTTAAAATGTATATACAAAATATATTTTAAATGAAAGAGTAAAAATAAATAAAAGGAAATAAGTATTTTCAATTTATAAGATAAAAATATTAAGTTAGAAATAGATATAGTTTAGTAAAAAAGAAAAGAAAGAGATTAGTTGTTTGTTATAAAAAGTTAGTGATACTGTTGGGCTTTAGAGGAATTGAGAACGGGTCAGGCCCATGGTTCAGGCAAACGAATTTGGTTAGGTTTTGTTAGTTCAGAACGAAGGTTAGGGTTAGTGAGGCAGCGACGGCGCGTTCGTCTTCTCCGTTCAAGCTTTCTGAGCAGCTCGACTCCGGCCACCAACGTCATTCACGCACTCTCTTCCCTCCAAGGCAAGAACTCCACATCCTCTTGAAACAAGGTTAGCTTTTGTTGTTATGTTTTCTTCTTCTTTTCTGAATTTGCGTGTTTTGTTTTGAGTTCTTATTTTTTCGTTTTTTATGAGGTGAAGGAGAAGAGATAGAAGGCTCGTTACCTGACTTTGGAGAAGGAGGAGAGAAGAGGGGAGCTGTGGCGCTTAGGAGGCCGGAGATTCGGTGATGGAGCTTTGAGCTTGCTTGGATGAATCTTTGAGCTTTTGATGCTTTCCTGGTATTTTCGTTCTTTTGATATATTAGGTTTTGATGATGATGTATGCTGAGAAGCCCTAATATGTTCACTTCTTTATCTCCTCTTCTGTGCCACTGTGTGTTGATTGCCTGAGTATTTGCTTGAGTATTTGCTTGAGTATTGTTGCCTGAGATGCCCAGTGATGATCTCTGAGATCTGAGGGCCTATGTTGCCTTGAACGATTGTTCTGTGTTATCTTGAACTTGCCCTTTTGTACGTTTGCTTGCCTTTAGATTTTTGATGCCCTTGACGCTTTCGTTGAGTTGGATGTCATGTTTTCATTGCCTATGATGAAGAAATTTTGAGGCTTAGAGGTTGGATTGAATGTTTTGACATGCTTGAGGGGTTGGAACTAGACAGGCAGGTTGTTGGTATTTCTGAGTTGAACTGTGTGTTTGATGGCTTTATTGACAGGCATGGTTGTTTTGCAAGCTATGCTGTGGTTTTTGAAGTTAAGCCTCAGCAGGTTTGAGGTGAAGGCAGGGTGTTGGTTCTATCTGGTTTTTTTATGTTAGCTTGGCTTAGTTTGCAGGTTATGGTGGTTTAGTTCATATGTTTTTTTGGGTTTGTGAGGCTAATGGTAAGGCAGGGTTGATGAAGTTTCTGGACAGTAGGTTTTTGGTGTATTGGTTTGGATGATTTTCTATGCTTTTTGGACTGGGTTTTCAGGTTTTGGTAGTGCTATCAAAATGAAAAATATTGACAGGGGTTGGTAGTTCTGGTTTTATGTATGGTATGAAGCTTTTTCTTTTGTGTTGCTATGGCCTTTGACTGGTTCTTTAAGGGTGATAGGCAGGTTTATGCAGGTTCCCTTCCCTTGACAGTAATGAGGCTTTCTTCCTCAGTTTGTATATTTCTCTTCTCTCTCACCTTACTTCTGTATTGGCTTGTGTATATCCTGTACTGAGGCAGAGTTGGTGTGTTTTGTATATTTTTTCTCTATCTCCTCACCTGCTATGCTGGACTGAGCTTTCTATATCTTTTCTGCTATCCTACTGCCTATGCCTAACCTGAACTATGCTTCTATTATCTCTCTTTTTCTCACTTTACAGTACAATAAAGAATTTTATATAATTTATGTTCTACTTGCTCTGAAGGGGCCTACTATGGGAAATGATGATTTTGGATTTCTTGCATAACACATTACTGCATCTCTTTCTTCAGCTTTGACAGTTTGTGTGCTTTTTCTTTTCCTTGATATCTTGGCCAAATCTTTTCATGACAGCTTGGGTACTTGTGACAGCAAATGCACTTTTGAAATCTTTGATATCTTTGGCATTTTGACAGTAACTTGCCTTTTGCTTTGGATAGAAAGTTGAGATTGGATTTTTTCAGTTTAGTTGGAAGTTTGCAGTTTGAATTTTTAGAAATTATGCATTTGACATTTGCATTTCATGAACAAAAAATCTTCCCTCTTTGTGAACCGGGAGAAATCCCGTGATTTGCAGAGAGGGCAACTGATCCCAGTCAGTGGCCCCTAATGATGAGCAACTTTAACTGTCTTTTAATTTCAATTGCTTTCTGACTTTTCTTGTTCTTTTCGCAGATAAAAAATGGAGTATCGGAGCGGAGTGAAGAATGAAGAATATTAGAAAATAGGATAGTTTTAATTTTATGTAATATTTAAATTAATGTATATTATTGTTCATAATTTAAATTATAAACAACAATTTGTACAAATAATTCAATTATCAATAAAATCTAAATTATCCAATTAATTCTAATCTTCTTTATTGTTTATTTATTTATTTAAAATTCTTTGAATTAAAACAATTGAAAAATAAATTTCAATCATTCAATTTCGGAATAATAAATAACTTAAATAAAACAACATTGATCAATTAAACCTGTCTTATCCAATATCCAAAACAAAGCAGCAGTCAACCAAACTGAACTGACCAAGCGCATTCCTTCTTCACTGATTTGCCATAAACATTGTGAACCCAATACTGCATACTGTATCTGACTGGCCCAATCAAAACGTACTGAATTCAAACCACTGTCTCTTTTACTGATTAAACCAAGATAACGCGAATTTTAATCTGAATCTTGGAATAAACTGCAAAGCGCTGTGGAATTTAAATTCTTCTGAGAATATGCCCATAAAACCTTAACTCCTGATTAAATGCCAAATAACGCTCGCCTGATCAAAATTGGACCAAAAATCATCCAAAACCCTGAGC